ACTGAAAGCTAGCAACCAAAAAATATGGTTTTATGATGGATCAAATATATTATAGAATGTTGAACATTTTTTTGCCGATCAACAATATTTATATGACATCAGTTCAAATATTTATCTGTAGTGCTAAGAGGTGGTGGTTGTCCCATTGCTATGTGAATATCGTTGGAATCTTTTACTGCAATTCCCAATGGGAATTATGCAGTCTCATATTTCTTTTCTACCACATCAGGTTCTGTGGGCTGGATTTGACAAGCTGGAATGTGAGGGAGGCACTACTCGTCAAATTTTGCTCTTGGGGTGTCAGTATGGTTTCCATGTTTGGGATGTTGAAGATTCTGACAATGTACACAACTTAGTTTCCAGGCAAGATGGTCCTGTTTCTTTCGTGCAAATATTACCAAAACCAATAGCATCAAAGAAGCACGAGAACAAATTTTCTGGCAGTCACCCAGTTTTAATACTTTGTGCTGATGCGTCCTTGTCTGGAGGTAGTAACAGTCGAGAGGGCATAGGAAAACTTCATGATGGAACCATCCAACAGTATCATGACCAAGCAAGTACTGGTTTTCTGCCCACTGCTGTTTGGTTTTATTCCCTGAAATCTCACTCTTATGTGCATCAGTTGAAGTTCAGATCAGCTGTTCACTTGGTCAGGTGTAGCTCTCGAGTGATTGCAATCTTACAAGCAGCTCAGGTATGTGCATGATATCACAAACATTTGGTTAATCTTTTCTTGCTAGACTTGGGTTAAGTTGTTTCTATTGCAGATACACTGCTTTGATGCTGCAACTCTAGATAGGGAATATACTGTTGTTACCAATCCTGTCATCCCGGGTTTTTCAGGGTTCGGCAGTATAGGTGTGGGACCTCTCGCTTTAGGTCCCAGGTGGATGGCCTATAGTGGAAGTCCAGTTACACTCTCAAATTCTGGTCATGTCAATCCGCAACACATTGCTCCTTCAGCTAGTCTCCCCAGTCCGGCTCCAAATGGGAGTGTTATTGCTCATTATGCAAAGGAATCCAGCAAGCAACTTGCTGGTGGTATTATGACTCTAGGGAACATTGGGTATAAGAAGCTCACTAGGTACTATTCTGACCTGTCACCAGATGGTAATAGTTCTCAATCTCGGAATGCTCGTCTGAAGATACCAGGAACTGCTAATGGTCATTTCCCAGGTGCAGAGAGTGTTGGAATGGTACAAATTACTCTGATCAACATCAATTATCTCACTGTGAATGGTGATTTAAAATTAGGTCTTCATGTACCATGTCACTCACTTGTTTCTATCTCTGCTCCTTGTTGTGGATAGAATAATTTTCGCTCTCTTCCTCATTTGATTTGATTAACATAAAAAATTAGTTCTTGACTGATTTATTGATTTATTGATTATGCAATAAGTTCCTTCCATCTTCATAATCAACTCTTACATTATGGTTATTGCTTGCTTTGTATATGCATGTATTTGTTGCTCCTCTTTTCTCTTAATTATGTTTTTGATGTTGAGAAGTGAGTTGTATTTGGTGCTTTGTGAAAAATGCTGTCGTGGGTCAACATTGGACCTCTATGTTAACGTCATGCATTTCGTGCATCTTAGGTCATAGTCAGAGACATCGTCAGCAAAGCTCTTATTGCTCAGCTTAGGGCACATAAGAGTCCTATTTCAGCTCTATGCTTTGATCCTAGCAGTACTCTACTGGTGACAGCTTCAGTTCAGGGTCATAATATCAATGTATTCCGGATAATGCCTATACTATCTGAAAATACCTCAGCTAGTGATCCTGGTTCATCATATGTCCATCTTTACAGGCTGCAGCGTGGACTGACTAATGCGGTAGGTGTAGTGCATCTGCATTTTCGTCCTGTATAAATTTATTGTTTTATGAGGACTGTAGTCAACTAAATCTTCCTTTTGGTCATCTCAGGTCATACAGGACATAAGTTTTAGTAGTGATAGCCAGTGGATTATGATAAGTTCTTCCAGAGGGACTAGCCATTTATTTACAATTTCTCCTTCAGGGGAAGTGGTTGATTTTCGATCTTCAGATGCATGTCTTACTAATACGAGTAATGGCTCTGTTGTGATGGAAAAACCTGCAGTTCATTGCGCCTCAAATTCTAAAATTCAGGTGCTTAATCAACAGAGCGTCTCTGAATCTGGCCCTCCAGTGGCCCTTTCTGTTGTTGGTCGAATAAGGAGTGGAAGTAATGGTTGGAGAAATACTGTGAGTGGTGCTGCAGCTGTTGCAACTGGACGGACGGGTTCTTTTTCTGGGTCCATAGCTTCAGCTTTTCGCAACTGCAGAAGTACTAATCAATATGCTGATTTAGGCCTTCCAAAAGCAAATTATTGGCTGCTTGTTTTTTCATCTTCGGGCTGTATGACACAATATTCATTGCGTATGTGTTCTGAGCTAGATGCGATACCAACTATTCCATTTGTGGGTTCAACTTACGGAGCAGGTCCTGAAGTGGATACACTATTAGTGGTAAAGGCAATCCAAAAGTGGAATATTTTCCAGAAACAAAATTGCAAAGAACGAGATGATAATGCTGATATATATGGTGAGTTTGGAAGTTCTGATAGCAGTAAAGTTTTTCCTGAAGGAATAACAAAGGGAAATGGTCTCTATTCCAAGACTAGGGACACAATCACTAAAGGAAAGATAAGTTCAGAGGAAAAACATCACATATACATATCTGAAGCAGAGCTTCAGATGCATAAACCTCAGAATCCACTATGGGCAAAACCTGAGGTACTTTAATTGTCGTATAGTACCATGATCTTTATCCAGCAAATCACGCTTCCATCCTTGTGTAATTGCTGATATCTCCATTATCTTTTTTTATTTTATGTCCAGGTATATTTTCAATCATTTGATATGGATAGGATTTATGTAGTTGATGGTTGTGGTGGAGAGGCTGAGGTTGAAGTAATTCCAACCCATATGGTTGAGGCGAGGTCAAAACGTTTAGTTCCAATTTTTAATCCCCTTCAAGCTTCCAAGACCCAACAAGGGAGGTAATCAATATTCTTTCTTGACTTCACGTATAGATGCATTCTGCTTGGTCCAGAAAGTAATCCAACAAATTTGGGTTTGTGTGATCGTTCTTTCCATGGGATTGAAAAGATTTATAAACTGATTTTCTGTTTAGGGTGGGGAGTGATTTTCTGATTTGGTATTAATTATTGGGTTTGCTTTATTTTGTATTATTTTGCTTATAGTATTCTGGTACATACACAAATACACTATCTAAAGTAGAGGTTTCTTTTTTGGTTTAACGGATAAATTAGGCTTCATGCTCATAGCGACAATGGCCAGCAGTTATCTCCTATGCCGGAGGTCTCAGAAAACAGCAAGCTTACGTTAAATGGTGGTTGTGCCTCTGTTGATGGGTCCAGCATTGAACTTCATCATGCCAGAGAAACCGAGTGCAATAGTCTTCGAATGACAAGTCATATAAGTAGAGACTTTATAAATAGTAGTGACAGCCCTGAAGCAGCCACTCGCCTAGATTTCGTCAATAACACAAGGAGCACCATGATGCAGACAAATCAAAGTTTATAAACTGTAAACTAGGTGGTACAAAAACAGAGAATCATTTCGAAGATGAGGTTGGCGAGTTTAATTGAAACTGAAGGTAATGTACTGCAACCCGGTTTTTGCTTTTGTTTTTTCTGAACAGCTTTGTGCTATAACTGAGTAATGTTACGACACTTTTGCTTGGCACAATTCTTTCGTGGCTTCTTTGGTTTGAAATCAATGTTTTATTTGAGCATGCTTGGACTGCTATATTGGCCTTCTTTTTTTTTTTTTTTTTTGTTATCTCTGCTTATATGTGACATGGCTCTGCTCTGCAACCATTTAGTCGGTCAAAGGGCTTTTAATGTTATGATCTTTGTTTAAGGCTTGCTTGTAGTGGCTTCAATATCTGTTCAAGAGATTCATTCTCTTCTCTCATTCTTTATGAGAGCACATTACAGTAGCAACAGCTTGAACTCTGAAAGATAGATCGGCATGCTGATAACTTCTGTTCTCTTCTTGTTCATTTCTGATGAGTCAAATATTTCAAATGAATAACATCTTCTGAATTCACTTAATTGTCTTGGCTATTCATTTATGTAAGAGTTCGAATTTCTACATTTTTTTTCTGTGGTTAATAATTAATGATAATATGGTTATTTCTTGTCAGGTTTTCCTCCAATTATTTGGGTGGAAGGTTCCTGGAAGTGTTAGTAGTATTATGTTGGTGAATATGTAAAGAAGTAAGAGGTATGAGGGTCCTTGACTGTGATATGCTCATATTGTGAGTAATTTGATATTGTAAATAATAAACTATGAAGTTGTAAATAGTAGAACCAGTCTTTCAACTTGTTGACTTGTTTGATTGCTCTCGTCTTTCACCCATCGATATCAAGCATTTTTTATGTCTAAATTGACAGCTGCCAATCAATACCTTTCTAGCTCTCTGTGTTGTAGCCATCTGGAAATTTAGACATTGCTCACTTATCTAGAAAAAGCCTCGTCGATTTACGTGTAATAGTTCTAAATATTTCACTTTACACAAATAATTACTACTATTTAACAACTAATACCTAAATTCCGGTGGTACTGTATCTCCCACATTGATTAAGCAGATACACATTGTGTTCCTCTGTTGTATATTATGTGCGTACGTATTTCCGGAGATTCTAAAAAAGGTTAGAACTTTATAACTTAAGTTTCGAGAAAATTATTCTACGGCATTTAGCATATTATATGCCATTTGGCGCAGAGCTTATCCAACAGGCAACAGAGAATACTGTTTATATGAATGTGTGCACTCAATGCTGTCTGAAGACAGACCTGGTCATGGCCATAAGGTTACATGTACAATGGCCATAATTTCCTTTTTTAACATTTATTTTTTTGGGGAAATGTTATTCAAGAGATAATGAGAATACTAAAAATTTAAGGTATGCTTTTCAAATTGGACATTTGAAAGAGAAACCCCTAAAACATGGAAAAAAAACTTGCGGCCAATATTTGCATCAAACCAAATGATTTGATCTTAAGGGTCACAAATTTACTAATTTGGTGGAGACATAAGACGCGGGTAAGCTTTTTCTCGCAGAAACATTATGGTCAAGGCAAGGCAATTGTCCGGGCTAGCTTGCGCGAACTTTGACTAATTCCAGCAACAGGTACCGGGTAACTCTACCCCCGAGGCTTGGATAGATGGGAAGAAATAACTAATAATTTTTTGTCTCCACTAGGATTTGAACCCGAGACCTCATGGTTCACACCCCCACTTCATTGACCACTAGGCCACACCCTTGAGTACTGTGACGATTATTATGGTAATGATTTCATTAGTAACTTGAGTACAAAATATATACCGTTATGCACTCACATAACTCTTAAGAGGTAGTAAAGACGATAAGTCCTTTCTCTTACAGCATCTCTCGTATTTGAAAGTTAGAAATGATGCAGCTCCAATTATCACCAAGTCTTAGGCCTGTCACAGTTTTACCAGCTAAAGGTTTCAAGAAAATATTGCAGATATAATAGCCCAGGAAGCGTTAGCACAGCTGTCTCTGAGCACAAAGGCTTGAAAATATTTCAGCAGAATATAGCAGTATGAAGAAGGTATAATATAGCAGTATGAAGAAGGTATAATATAAAAATAAGCTGATTATGCTTGCTAGGTACATAGACAACCTTAGGAGAATCACAAATTCACAGTACAAAGCAAAATAACAAGTGAAACACTAAAGTTCTATTGCCGTTCGAGTTGGTAGAAAATTGTACTAGTAAAGAAAGAACATACTCACAGTGAAGTTAAACCACCATTTCTATTTTCTTTCATTGATGTGAACAGCCATTTTGCTGTTTGCATCCTAAAGATCTCCTGAGCTGTTCTTCTATTAGGTAATTGTAGAATCATGTATTTAAATCTCTTGATTCCCCTGCACTCTGTTAGGGGATGATACATGAAGCATTGGAAGAACTCTCAGACCGAAAGTAAATACAAATATAAGAGATTATTGCAAAAATTAAGGACGAAAAACCAGATGGATAACCTTTGGATTCAAGCTTAAAGCTATTTTATTATGCTCTTACCGTGCCTTCTACAAACCTATGTACAATTGGAATAATTTGAAGGTATCAGTGTACCACACGGTGTCATAGACCACAATTTGTCCGCAAGACAAGGAAGTTAGAGTTGGTTAATTCTCTCTCCCGCTAAATAAATAACTAGAACACAAACAAGTAGTAAAATTTATGAAGCAAAAGGCCATGAGAAATCCACAATGCAAACCTCAGCCACAAAAGGCAAAAATGACATGCCGCATACAAATTAAAAGCACAATTGGTCCTAGAGTGCATTCATCCAAGCTAAGGCTTGAGAAGTGCATATTCTCTTGCACGTTAGTCTCCTTGAACAAAAAAAATAAAAACTGCCAAATTTCAAGATTACCTATAGTACCGGCATGTAGCATCTAGCAGCATTCTAGAACTGCTGCATTGTCTTGCTGTGAAGCTAGCACATGAGCATCCAATGAATGCCAACGCCCGTCTCAGTTGTTATCAATAACTTGTCCCTGCCTTAGCTGATAATTCACACTCCCAACACGTACTTGCCTCTGATAATATTCATGCCGCTTTTGTTGTTGCATCATCACTTCTCAAGAACTCCTGGTATCTGAAGAAGGTTGTCCTTCGCATAATAACAGATAGAAAGCCCTATTCACCAATGCAAGCTTGATTTTTCTTTCAATCCTTTGCCCCTTTCTATCATTGCAGTTAAATGGTGCATAAGTTTAATAGGTTCACAAAGGGGATTGTTCGAGTTAAGGAATTAATGGAGAAAGACCAAAAGGCAAGGTCACAGTACACGGGAGGGTCAAGAAGAAAGGGGGAAGCCCAACATATTGCAGCAAAAGTTACAAACCCTCAGTCCGATAACCACAAAAGGATAATTTGGCGGAGGTAAGCCTTGAAATCATAAAGTAAATTACATGTACTTAGAATGAATGTAACATCCATTCCTCCCTCTCCTTGAAATAGTTGTAATATTTCTACAAAGTATGAATATCTTTTCAGTTGTTTCCCACTCTTGATAAGGTAGTCTTCCTGGATTATGACATCGTAGCTCAAACTGATCTTTCACCTCTATAGTACATTGAAATGAATGGAAAGATGAGCACAGCTATGGACACGTGCAGGGAGAAAACAAGAGTTTTCTCATCCTCTGATAGCAAAGAACTTGATCCTAGTGAATGCGCATGGAACCATGGAATCAGCATTGTTTATCAAGAAACATGAAGGAAAAGAAATATAATTCAAGCATATCAATATCGGCTCGAAGAGGTAAAATACAAGTGACATAAAAATGACATTTCTTTTTTGAAGAAATGCATTCTCGAAAATGTGATAACCTTTATAAAGTTATGTTTAGATAAAGCCCAATTTTTATTAAACAAATACAACTTTAGTGCTGGTGTGATCTACTTCAACGGTTGTGCAAAACCTTAGCTAGATATAACATTCCAACAACTTCGACGTTGCTGGAGCAATAGGTGTACTTTTTCGATAAATTTATCAAAAACTATCATCTTATAGCATCTTCAGAGTACCTCAGAAAGGTGCTTGTAAATGAGCGAACATAAGTCTGAAAGGAGTTCAAATGACTAGAGGGTCTCCAATTCAAGAGAAGAAATGGCAACATCTCAAGGCTAGACATATACACACATATGTGCAAAAAAATTAATCTTTCCATTTTTTCATACTTGTTTTTATAGTATATATTCTTAAATGACATAAAGTCTTTAACTTCACATAATAATATTATTATTTAAATTAGAAAAGGATAATTTAAATAATGAGATGTTAGACATGCATTTGCAATATGGTACCTTTGATAATGTTCTTAAAAATATATTTTCTAATATGAAGATTTAAGTAGTTTAATTCAGAGTTTTAAAAGAGTAGATATCTTTCTTTCTTTTTTTAAAATTTTTTGTTACTTTTTATTTTTTCTACTAACTTTAATATTGTCTAATTTGAAATAAAATATAAAATCCATTATTAAAATTTTTGGGGACCTAAATCAAGGCTTTACTAGTCTCCTACTAGAGCCACTTGCCCACCCCTAATATTCTCGATCACATTTGTAGAGTTTGAAATTTCAATTAAGATAAGACAACAATGGCTAGAACATTAAAGACAGTGTGTCATTCAGTTACCAAAAGCGAATGAAGCTGGTTGAACAGTACGTTCATGGTGGGGTAGTAGTCTGTAAATAAATGTTGATCATCAATGAGCGGCGACTCACCAGAACTGGTGGCCTAAAACCAAAATATATTAAAAAGACCCTGAAACTTCTTTTATAAAATCCATATAATACTGAGACACAAAAAACTCGGCATGACTTTGATCTAGTGGTGAGAGCGCAACTCATGATGTATGGGTTAGGCGCACATCATATGGTATTGAATTCTTCCTTTAACTAAAAATGGTAAAGGGATGAGCCCATTATCCATTGTGTTTTGAACCTTGCTACATTTGTCTCGTAGATCAATCAAATGTGACAAAAATGAATAGTTAATCTAGAGAATTTGAGTTAAAATTAGAAAGTAAAATCGTGAGAAACGTAAAAAAAAAAGGACTAAACATAGAGGAAAAAAATAAAATTGATGAGAAGGTAAATATATTATTTAATTTAGTGAGAGAAAAAAAATTATCCTATTAATTCACTCAATCCTACCTCTGCTAGATTTTAAAAAAATTATTAAGATTTTAAAATTTTTTATTAAATATTATATAAATATAAATTATAAAGTATATATTACATAATAATGTAGTAGTGTTATATATTTTCGGGGTCTTAAATATTTGGAGGCCTAAGACAAGGGATTCACTTGCCTTACCCTAGAGCCGCCCTTGCTCCTTAGCAATAACAATACAGATGTTGATGCTTAGTTCGTGAAGCCAACACCTCTAGTTGCTTGTTCTTTCTTCTTTTATTTTTCTTTTCCCGGTTTTGAGTAGGGATTGTGAGGGGTGTGTGTAGAGAGACAAGATAGCAGAGATTAAGTTTTGAATTCACTAAAACGTGGTAAAGTTAGTATATATACGTCAAACAAGAATATACTGTAACAGTTCCAAGAAGATCAAAATGGAAGGAGATCGTGAAACAAATAATATCATAGCAAAGGTTCACAAGAGGCATGTGCATTCTAAAAGTTAGTCATCCTTTTTCTAAAAGTCGTCTCCTCTCCTTTCTTTATCTTCAATTCCAAATAATCACAGTAGTTTTTATTACATGGTATAGATAAAAGTTAAAACAAATAAAACTACATTCAACTGAATAGTTGTGATTTACTTTAGCTGTGATACCTTGAATTGGCGTGCTTCACTTTTGTCCCCTTACATTTGACACCAAATCTTTCAAGAACTTTGCTGACTTTGTGATTGGTGAATTAATCGCCATCAAGTTATACAAAACATTCTCAACTTCCTCAATTGATGGCCTTGTTTTAAACCTCGAAACCACCTTCAATTCTCCATCTTCTTCAACAAAGACATACCATTTCTCACCACTCAAAACCCCATTCCTCACACACTTAAACATCACACCATTTCTCTTACTCAATATTCCTTTAACCTCTAATCCCATAAATGAATACACAACCTCAAATGAACCCACAAATCCACTCAACTTACCAAAGCTACTTTCTTCATCAAACCCCCATTTGGGATTGAAAATCACCACAGGCTTTGGATACAATGTATCAGCAATAGCCTCCATTACACTTAATCTTGAAACCTCTGGAGCCATAAACACAACCACATCTCCAGAATTTACCATTCTGATATCCTCATCATCAGATATTGATGAAATATCAAAATTTTCAATAATGGGGTTTGAAGACTTACTCTCAAAGGCTTTTTGTGCAGCTTGAGTTAAGCTTTGGTTAGGCCATAAAAGCAGAATCTTGATTTTTGGGCCTTTTCTTTTAATGGGCATGTTTGCAAAAATATCAAGAGCAAGCTGAGATAGTGCAGATGAGGAGTCATCAACAACTGGAATTTCAACACGAAATCTTGGTTGTTTGAGTTTCTTGAGTCTCCCAACAAGCTTAGGATTGTTAAGGGGTTTCTCTAAAGTAGTTAAAAGAGACAACTTTGCTTGGGAAATGGCATCTTCTTTAGTGGTAGGTGGGGTAGGAGAAGAGAGTGAACATTGAAGAGGTAAAAAATTGAACTTGGTTGGTTTTGTGAAGGAAACAGAGAGATAAAGATTGTTAAGTTGCTGTGTTGATCCTATAAAGCATAAGGAAGAAGTTGAGGATGGCAATTTGGTAAGGTTGAAATGGAACAAAGGGTGAAAATTTTGGATGGGTTGTGCATGGAATTTAAGAAGATTGGAAGCCATTTGAAGTGAATTCTTGTCAAAGGGGATAGAGTTTTTGGAAAGAAATTGTTACAACTTTGGGAACATCTGGTCATCTGGATAAGGTATAGATAAAGCTTTTAGAGAAAAAAGAAATTGTGAATATTGAAATGAAAATTTTAGTTGAAATATAAAGGGAGAAATTCAAAAATAGCCACATTTATAAGTGGTCGTTTAAAAATAGCCCAGTTTCAAAAGTAATTGAAATCTAGCCACTTTTCATGTAAAGATAAATCTAAGCGAAAACACTATTCAAAACCCCGAAAATACGCCAGTATATTATGCTGGAGTTTGCTGGAACTCCAGCATATTATACTGGAGTTCCACGATAAGTATGCTGGAACTCCAGCATAATATAATGGAGTTACAGCATAAGTACACTAGAACTCCAGCATAATATACTGGAGTTCCAGCAAAGTATAGCGGTCCAGTATAATATGCTGGAAGTTCATACACAAGTGCTCGAATCTCCAGTATATTATGTTGTAACTTTCCGTGTGTTGGAGTTCCAGCATAATATGCTGGAAGTTCATACACAGGTGCACCAAACTCCAGTATATTATGCTTGACCGATCTCTGTTGCAGCAAAATAATGGCTATTTTTTATTGACTTGGTAAACACTGGCTATTTTTGAATGATCAGTCCGAAAACTGGCTAGACCGTGCTATTTTTTCAAATATAAATGCATATTCGAACTACAACTTCAACTCCAAAATTCCTTCTTTTTTTCTTTTTGCCGTCCACATTTAACTTTATTCCCAATTTCACAAACAAATGTTAACTTGGAGTACTAGCTCGTAAGCAAAAAAGTCAACCACAAAAATTCCGCATGTACGACGCGTTTTGCAATTTATTAATTTTTGCATAATTATACAGCGTTGCTTTTAGTAACTAAATCAGTTGCAGACGCATCAGCTAAGAGCTTGTTTGGATGGTTGTTCACATTATATCGTATTGTATTGTTATCCCAAAACAATGTTTGATTTGATTGTTTCATTATAATTGGTTGTATTATATGTTAAATCCATTGCCGGAACAATGAAAAGTGCCCTTTTTTTTAAACGATCGATCTGGTGTGGTGGGATTGTTTCCTATTTTTCTTTTCAATTATGCCCTAACTTATTACTCTACAATTCTATTTTACCCTTTACCTTTTTTTCTATTTTAACTCCAAATCTCCATCCTATAACCTACTTTATTTTTTTTCAGAACAACTACCACCAACGTTAAAGGTGTTTTGCCGCCTTCTGTTTTATTTTTTCTCCTAATTTGCTTTTAACTCAATTCTAATTAGTTGTGCTCCTTTGTTTTGCCTTCTTCCATCTCACTCCTTTGTTCTACTTTCTTAAGGTGTTTTGCCTTCTTCCATCTCACTCCTTTGTTCTACTTTCTTAAGGTGTTTTGCCTTCTTTCGTTTTGTTTTTTTTTTTTAAATTATTTTTATGCATAATTTATGATAAGTTTAATATTTAAACAAATTGAGGGTACTCTAACCTTCCCGACCACGATTTTTTCTTCTTTTTTTTTTTAGGTATTTCACTGCGAAATAAGAAAGAAATAAAAAATTATATTTTCCTAGGTATCAAAAATCTAGTAAATAAAAGAAATTATTTAGTAAACTTATCAGTTACAGTACAGTACGATATAGTCAAATCAACCAGCAAAATATTATTTAACAATAACAAACAATACAATCTATCCAAATATTGTATTGATAAATAATACGATAGAATACAATACAATATATTATAAAATGATGGGGAATAATGATCCAAATAGAGTGTAAGAAAGGGAGTAAAGGAGCCAAGTTTAATGTTTTTGGTACATTATCCATGGGTGGTTGGATTATAAGGCCAGTAAAGCAATCTCTTGGGGACCCTTTTTTCTTAAAAATGTATTGTATATGTATTATTAAAAAAAAATATGTGTACATTTAAATTTAAAAAGATTTTTTGGAGCGAAAGTACAATAACTTTAACGTGAGGATCATTGTAATAATTGGAGAATGAAATAATTTTTAATAAATTATTTTCTTACATGGGTCGGGTAGCTATTTTCTTTGCCTCTATTATATCCTAACAACTAAAACGGGCCACATTATTATTTATATATTTACCTTTTTCATTTTTTCTTTTACCTATTCTTATTCGCAATACTGAAAAGTCTCAAAAATCAACAACTTACCGCCACTTACAAGTTGTCTTCTTCAAAGCATTACAACAAGCAATCATTATATTGAAGCAATACAGCACTTTCCGTATCATTATATCAACTTATCTTGCTTTATAGTTTCTTAACCTTTCATTTTCTACTACTATTTATTGTTTCTTGTACTTCGATTATCTTATTTATCTATGATAGCTACTAGTCCTTTTTAGACTGCTTTATCATGACTTATTCGCTTTCGTTAGTTTCATTTTCATACTGCATTGAATTGATTGTCCTTATCTGACCTTTATTTTGCCATGCTTTCTCTTGAGCCGAGGGTCTTTCGTAAACAACCTTTCTACCTCCCAAGGTAGAGGTAAGGGTTGCGTACATTCTACCTCCCTAGACCCCACTTTGTGAGTTTTCACTTGGTATGTTGTTGTTGTATTATATCAACTTGAGCCAGTTTAAAAAACTTTATTTTATACTTTTTAACTGCAAATTTATCGTTGATATTCTTACTTAGAGCCTCTCTCTGAAATTTGGCTTTAGGCCCCCAATCTTGTTGAAACAGCCTGACGTTACCTAATCGGCTAGTCCCTCAACTGAACTCCGACAAAGGGGGAAGATGTTTTATTGGGAATATTTTCTAGTACTATAATTTTATGCAAGGTAACTGTGGAATGAAGGCATGTATTTGTAATAGTGGGATAAATTATTGGCAAAATATCTTAAAACCCCTCTAAACTTGTCACGCATTATTGGTTATATCCTTAAACTAACTATGGTCTTAATTACCCCCCTATACTTGGTTATTCGATAGCTGTTATCTCCTTGGACGATCTCATCCCAGGAAAGTGGCATGCACTCGCCTGCCACGTGAATTTTTCTGTCTATGTGGCATTTTTCTGAAAAATAAAATATATTTTTACCTTTTTAAGTATGTTACTTTTTTAGATAATTTTTTTCGAATAAAAATTATAATAAAACTTGGATAGAACTACATTAATTAGGCTAAAAAAATTTATTTGGCTAAAAATAATAAAGTTTTAGTTATTCTTTTTTTGAATTTGATCTGAAAATAAAGATTTATACAATTGAAATAAATAGTCAAGGCATCTAAAAAGTTACAAAAGATACGTAGTTTAAAATTAATTATTTTGGCTATAATTTTTTATGTAGCTCTAAATTACGGTTCTCTAAAAATATTTTTTTTTACAGATTTTAACTAAAACTTTATCATTTTTAGCCAAATAAAAAAATTTAGCCTAAATAATGTAGTTCTATCCAAGTTTTAATATAAATGGTATTC